GACACCTGGCTGACTTTCCTGGCATCATGGGCCTGCTTTGTCCTGGAGCAAAGATGATCCAAGGAACTGATCTATTCATTTGGTCTCAGATCTACTTATTCTACAGAAAAAAAACCTGCTAGGGATAAAGAAGACTCTTTTCTTCTTTTATAAAGCTTCTATCATTGATATGACAATCTTAGACAGAGAGCCAGACATAGTACATGCATAATCATAAATCAAAGGTGATAAAAAAAGGCTGAAATGTATCTGAAGAACATAAGGTATGTCTGAGGAGGATAAGCAGTAATACTCTGAAAACAGCTTTTTTTAAGAATTTCTATATATGTTTCAGGCAGGCCCTTACTTGTGCTCAATTCTCCAAGGTCAGGATAGGAAATGGGTTGTTTTACACCAATCTGAAACATGGATGATTTAATTTATGTCATAGTCTTTCATAGATCTCTGAGAATTGAAATGGGACAAAGCTCTTCCTGAAATTCTTGCAAAGCTACACAAGGTACAAAGGTAATGTCTAGTGACCTTATTTGATCAAAGTAACCTGTTTAATTTCAAAAGGAGAGTACCTGGTACCAATTATGGGTATAACTCCAGGCAGACCTGGATGACAGTCATGAAGATAGCTCTTCAACAAGAGGGTAAACCAGAAACCCTGCACTGATTCTAATTATCAGCTCAGTACTATTTTCTTGTTACATTTCAAGGACTCTTGATTTTGTCATATTGCCTATATTACTTGACTTTTGCCAGGTGTAAGTTAATATTTTTTATGACTTTGAGTAGTCTTAGGTTCAGGGTTGCAAATTCAAAATATTATTTTTGCAGACAATGTGCACATTTTTACAGACAGATTATTTATTTATTTATGTATTACTGAGATGCATTTTTACTTTTTTTTTTTAATCTTAGTTTGACAGCCCTGTGCTACTGCAGCATTGGTTTTACACCCTGCCTGCCCCCACCATAGGGTCTACTACTCACCCCACACCCTGATCCCCTCCTAATTGTACCCAGCACCATGCTGTGTCCCATCCCTCCCCCACAACTCTCCAGCCTGATTCGTACCATTCCCCTGTCCTAGCACAGACCCTCACCCACTGCCTCCCCCTCTCAGCCCACCGTTCCATCCTCGCTGCACAGCACCCTTCCCTGTACCTTTGATGGGAGCTGCCCAAAAAAACCTCCCAAAAAACCAAAAACCCACCAAATGCCAAAACCCCTAAGAGACTCCCACAGCATGAAAAGTTAAAAAAAGCTAATAAATGCAAATGAGAAGGAAGGAAGCAACATAGTTTCCATTTTAGATACACAAGGTACATGAAAGAGGCACTGAATTTAAAGAGTTACATAAAATGCCTCCTAGCCTTTTAACATAGCAACTAATATTTAACAGATGTGGAGCATTTGAGATGTTCTTTAGCTCACTGACCTCATCAGCATTTTAAGAGGTATCATGTACAATAATTATAGAGTACTTTTGTACTTTTGAAAGTATGTTCTATAAGCAGATTGAACAATGAACTGGAAAGAAACCTATAACATACACAGCATTAAAAATCTTTGTTTTTGATCCTGAAACAATGTAAAGGTTTTAAATAACTGAAATTAATTAAATTAATTATATCTATATATAGCATGTGGAGTGACTTGCTATGTAGCCCCTTGGCTTTCCTCACCAGGAACCTTGCAACCTGGTCCTTATTTTTGGTTGGTAGGTATGTATGTATGTATGTATGTATCTATCCATCAACCATAAATTGAACATCAGGGGCCCTAAGGTCTTTTCTTTTGATTGTCTGAAGTAACTAAGTGAATTCATTCAGAATTTTCTGCTCTGCTATGACTGATCCTCTGATGCATCTAGGATGCCTAAAACCAAAATAGAAATGTCCCCCCTGCTTGCCTTTACATGAGATTTAGAAATATAGGTCTAAATGATCTCCTGTGTGTACTAAAAGAGACCTTTCAAAATCATATTTAGCTTAGCTTCTCTTTCAATTTCATCTCACTGCTAGCAGTCACACAATCTTGTGCAATGTTAAATAAATTAAAACTATCTTCTTTTTAGTGCTGACAAATATTTTAAGCATGTTAAATATTGTGCTTCCCTTTCTCATCTTACAGCATCTTTAGATGTTCTCCGGGGGTGGTTCTTTAATTAGAGCAGCTCATGGGAGTTGCCCTAATTAAGGTGCCTGCAATGTCTCATGTATTCAGTGTCCCACCCTTCAAAATGGCAGTGGGGGCACTTTAACCAAAGCTTGTTTGATGAGTTTTAGTTAAAGTGCCCCTGTTGCCATTTTGAAGCATGGGGATGCTGAATACACAAGATGCTGAGGCTGCTGGAGCATGCTAATTACATCGAGTCTGCTCTGACACATGCTTATTAGCAGGCATCTGAGAAGGCATCAGGCACATGTGTAGGTTACCTTAGAGTCCTGTTTTGGGTTAATAGTTCTCTTAGCTTTATTAGGGTCACCTGATCCTGATCACAAACAAAACTTTTCAAGAACACGGGTCTTTCAACCTGACTACTCAGCCTAGTAAGGTGTGTAAATTAGAGCAGTAGTTTTAAACCCCAGGCATGCCTCCTTAGAATCCTGGCACGCCTCCGAAAATGACATCTTAGCTTTCACTCATTGACAATAAAAAATAATAAAGCAATTCCTCTGTTACAACAAATTCAGAAAGCTCACAACAGGTCAGAATGTTTTTGACACTATGGATTTCCATTTGAAAATCTCTGGGTTTATCCTGTCAATCATGTATACAAACCTAATAGTGCTAATATTGCATGGCACTCTGCAACAGCCTTAAAATCTTAAAATGATTGTGCAACACCTTGGTTATAAAAAAAAAAAAAAGAAGTCACTGGATTACAGTCTGGGAGCCACTTCGACTCAGGTTGCTAACTAAACCACTTCACAGCTAACAAACTCAGTAACACAAATCTGATTAAATCCAAAACTACCTAAAACAGGGGTAAGGCAATGTTTTTGGCTGGAGTGCCAAAAAACCCGCAATGTCTACTTTGTAAGGTGCAAGAGTTCTGGCATGCCAGAAAAACAAAACCAGGTGGGGGGGGGGGGGAGGGGGAGACATGGTAGGATGCACTGCATATTAATGTAGTTAATAATCATAAATGTTGGGAGGGGGGTTGTTTTCCTTTTTTTTTTTTTTTTTACAGTAAATACTAGGTTTTCTAAAAATTCTACCTGGGTGACAATAAATAAAACTTCATATACTACCTTTGTTGTGAATTCTTTTTTTTGGTAAGCATGTTGTGATGAGAGAGGATAGGGGAGGGAGGGAGGGAAGAAAAAGAGGGGAGGGAGAGAAAAAAAAAAGAGGGGGAAAGAGAGAGGGGGCAGGGAAACAAAGATGATGGGGGAAAAAGGAAAAGAGAAAGATGGGGGAA